GGGAGCGGGCGCTGTCGGAGGGTCCGCGCCGAGGGAGCGGGCGCTGTCGGAGGGTCAGTTGAACAGGATAAGCATCTGAATGTCCCGCTAACCATTTCAGATCGGTTCGTACTTTGGCGCCGAGCTGTGCTCCGTCGATCTGGAAGGTGATGGTTGGACGGACCTCCTCCTGGTCGGTGCCCCCCTGTACCACGAGACGGACATAGGCGGCCTGGTCAGCGTGTGCCAAATATCGCCTCAGGTGAGGGGAGATTCTGCCCCGGGGTGGGCGGGGGGCGGGAATTCCCGTACTAGCCCTCTGCGTCGCGGCGCCAGCCCTCGCTTGGTCACCTTGCCGTCACCTGCGTCGGCGCGAGGCTCGGAGGGTCACAGCGGAAACCCGGTACCTGTTGGCTTCGTCTGAAACGGCGCCCGAGGAAGTCTCGACCCAAGCGAGCCGCCCACCCCCGGGAGTGCCAACAGGAGAACGCTCGCTTCCTCGATCGTCAGGCACAGCCGCAGCAGTGTGTACCGTCTGCAAGACCCACCGCAGAGACTCGCTCGCCGACAGCACCTTCCCCAAAACCCGCCAACCTCTTACCTCCTGCCCCCCTGAGAGGGGCAGCAGGCGCAGGGTGGTGGTGGGGGCACAAGATTTTAAGATGTGACCCCCACCCCCCAACCCCAGTAGAAGTCGATCCTCCGTCTCTCACTCCGACTCCTTCTCTCTCCCCCTACCCGCAGGGTAATGCTTCCTGCCCCTCTGCCCTCCGGGGTCAGGCGGGCCAGACCCTGGGGCGATTTGGGAGTGCCATCTCGGCGCTGGGGGACCTGAACGGGGATGGACTGACCGACGTGGCCGTGGGGGCGCCGCTGGAGGACGGGCACCGGGGCAGCGTCTACATTTACCACGGGACGGAGGGGGGCATTGCCCCCAGTTACAGCCAGGTCAGAGGGTTTACGGTGGTGGAGGCGGGGAGAGGGCGAGGAGGGAGGAGAGAGGGAGAGGGAGGAGGAGGGAGGGGAGAGGGGGAGATGGGAGGGG